TGAAAGGCATTCAGATTAAGACACGTAGAAATAAATACCTCCAAAACGTGTGGTTTGCTTTGGTTGTTGACGAAGCTCTCTGTGAATGTCCAAGACCAAATGATTTAAAGCGCATTTGCATGCGTCCTCGGAGTCAACAACGGGACAATGGCGGCAAGTGAAGCATCGCCCTATCTTGTGGGAGGATATCATTCAACTTGGTTGAAGCTGCTTCTCAATGATTTAGCCTCGTTGTTCTATCCCAACGAGCTTGGGACAATGGGGATTTACTTCCTGGATTGGAGAGTAATCGGAACAAAGTGCAGATGTGATGTCCGAGTACAGTAGTTTTATCAATACGAAAGTACGCATTTTAATGCGTACTCTGATGTAAATCAGATTTGAGCTACTATGGGAGCAGCCTTTCGACCGGAAAAGGCCAGAGTGGTTATTAACAATATATATGATAATTGATTATTTTAGAATATCTGACTAATCCATTTTGAGTTCTGCAAGTATGCAAAAACGTTACTGACATTTTTACTGGCGTTCCATTGGAAGAAAGAACCAAAATGTGTCCAATGACACGCGCAGGGAAGGCCGTTGAATCCATCGAGGGCCCATGCGCCATGCAAGTTTTCGCGGTTGTTCCGGCCTCCGAAAGCGTGCAAATGGCATGTGAAGATGGCCGAATAGGCAAGGACACATTCCGAAATCTCTGTGACTTACTGAGCTCTGTGGACGAAGTTTGAAAATCATAGTACTGTATGACCAAAATATGTCATCCTCTGCTGGCCTGCCTGTTAATACTTCATTCAAGTACTTCGAAGTAATTGCTAACAGCATAGACAGTTGCAACTACTACTAGTAATAACATAACATTATCGAAGTACTAAGCTTAGTGTAACCCTAACAGCACGGGGGGATACTAGCCATCGTCCCCATCCGCAAACTAACTGCGCAGTGTGTACTTACTACTCGAGTACCTAGTATGTACGAACCAGCTCCAAATTCAGTCCACCTTGATAGAAGAACATCCTCCTTATACGTCCATTGGTCAACTACACTGTACTATGTACTAACCCCAAAACTGGTTATTTACCGCAACATGGTGTCTTGCAACGTCGCAGCACTACGAGTACTACACCCTCCGAGTAGTATTACACAACTGGACCACAACTACATCCTTGTTATCACAGCGTTTGGATCCACGCCGCCAACGGTGTCACATCACGGGCGTACATGGCAGCCCCTGTGCGGATGTTTTCAAGGAACTACGCCAGTGGGCGGGCAAACGCACCTTGGGGCGGCCGACCAAGAACACTTCGACCGCCGTGACGGCTTGTTCCGTCTGGAAGTTTGCGATGGGCACACACAGGATGCGCCCCACGACGATCTGCGAATACTGTGCGCTCAAAGCGTCCCAATTGGCTTGCACATACTCCGATGCGACAGTCGATCTGTCGGCTGCGACACTGCCGAACACGCTGTGGATGTTCTGGCTGCGGACACCTCCCGCCACGGCCCACTCCAACGAACGTGTCTTGAGCTTCACAGATGGAAACCGGCCCAGCGCGCCCAGCACATGCAGCTTTTCATCGATAAAGTCGCTGGTTTCGTACGCCTGGAGGAGGTGCGCAAACGCAGCGTTGGGCTTGGACGATGTGCGCACGCGGATGCTGTACACGACCGAGCGCAAGTTGGCCGAGAGTGATGCCGGGGCGGAAATGCAGCGTGGAAGAGCGCCGAGGCTTCCGCCACCACGGCCGGGTCGTTGGCAGCAGCCAGCATAGCAATCATGTCGCAGTGGAAGTTTCTGGTCAGGTCTTGATCCGTTGGACGCGCGTCCCACGTGAATTAGCCCATCATGACCACGTACAGCCGCCGTAGATATTTGCCGTCACTGCCACATTGAGTTGGGGCATCTATTTCCGAACAAGGGAGTTCAAGGAGCCCGGGCTCCTCAACATATACTAAGCTCATTTCAAAACATAACGTTATATGTCAGCATTCCTTGTTCATGTCGGTCATACAGACCTCGTTGGCAAGTTGCCAAGTTGCCAAGGGATGCCATCATAGACTTGGATCCCCGGGAGCGCGAATGAGATTCAAGCACGAAGCTGTGATGCCTGCCGTGACCAAGTGAATTGGTTGGGGTTACGAAAATTCCACGAAACCCATTATCCAGAGGCGACTCCTGTGACGCCCGACACTGTCGGACTTCTTACGCGATGGTTTGGCCACATACAATGAGCAAGATACTTCGAATTAGATTGGTTGGGATTACGAAACTCTGACGAAACTATTTGTTTCGCATGAATTATCCCCAACTATTGTGCATCTATCCCTCGACAATGGTACACCATGATTTGAACGAATCAACGACCTTTAATTCTTCATAGTGATGTATTTGTGTCCTGTTCCCGCATCTCCCGGATGCAATATTTTTATTGTGCATGTTTTTGTGGTGTACTCGGACGACATGTCAACATGCGCATATATCGAAAAAATGGACGAACTTTGATGACGCTTTTCTCGAGCTGTGTAATATTTACAACAACACAACTCGTACTACTCGATAGTCCATCACTAGCTCAGCCTATGCAGCATGGTCTGTGCATACACAGCTCTCTCTGGCACGAGGCATCTCGCATGTACAGGGAACGACGCTGAGTAGCGGCGTGATGAGGAGTTGTGATTGGACAGAGACGCGGTTCGAATTGACCAATTGAGGCTCACAAAACCAAAATATAAAAGAAGTATCGAATGAAAAAAATGAGCTTTGAATATAAGATTACA